CCACACATTGATGAAGGTGAACGGATTTCGTTGTGTGTCAGCTTGTCAGTATATCAGAATCGAACAGTTTTATGGATTTTCATGAACATTTCAGCGCAATTTTGCAATAGTTCGATGATGGTTTCTTCAATTCATGCACATGACGAATTGTTGGAATTATAAACACACCCATTACGTGACTACCGAATCCATAATAAATTATATAGAACCGAAAAATGGCCTACTGCAAAAATATCTACCTGGAAAATTGATTTACTACCCTGACGTCAAATCTAGTGTTCCGTGAATTTGTTTGGACCTCTTCTCAAAACTTCGTATTCGAGAAGCCTTTTGTACATTTCGTTATTATTATTTCGCCGCTTATTCTTAAGAAACCACACAGGTAAGTGTTAGTTTGAGTTATTCGTTCGACGTAAATGAAATAATCAACTGGATTGAAACCTTCCATTTCGACAGAACTTCCTGCAATAATCGTAGAGTAGTCAATTCCTTTTAAATCAGAAAATGTTTCAGGCCCTGAATCCATATTGCTGTGAACTTCAGTTTTTCTTCGCTTTCAGAAGCAGATGAAGGTGAATAAGTTGCCTTTATTTTTTTTTTTTCCATCCCTGACCCAGACGGTATCTGCGACAGAGACGCCTCGTTGGTTGATAATTTTACCTACGGCGGCAAGGTCTTTTTTGCGTAATATTTTCACGAGCTTCCAGGAATAACTTTTTTTTACCAACAGAAGTTTTCAACCTAGATTGTTCGAAAACTGTCGATATATAGTGAATCAACAATTTCTGTGGCTTGTTGCAAATTCTGTTGGTCTGTTTTTGGCAACCTATTTGAGATTTTGTACTCATCTTATAGCCATAATCCAAACGCTTCAAATCCTGACTAAATATTGTGTTCATTAGTGGTTGAAACTTCAGTTGGTGCTTGCTTCGAAATACAGGAAAAAAAATATTTTCTGATGGTTCCATTGTTATGCTCCATCCACTCTTGTAGAATCATCCTCCATGCTGCCTTTAATGGTCTAAAAACGCTTACATCCAGTGGCTGTGTGGGTTGAGTACTATTAGGCGGCAGAAGAAATAAAGCGAAAGTTATTCTCCTCACATGTTTTAATAACAGCAGACAACAGATGGCTAGCCAGGTTTTCGCCAATCGATACTTTAGGACCAGGTGGTTAAGTTTCAAAATATGGGAATGCTATTTTGTCGACCCAGTCTTCGAAAATACTGACATCGAACCATCCAGATCGCGATCAATTATATCTGGCATAAGTAGGTTCATATTATGTCCAAGTATTCCATAGATGATCAGCTTTGTATACAATGTAGACAAGAAGTATATACCCCGTAGCTGAACACGAAAACATCACTGAAGTTGCTGCCTTTCATGTGTCCATAACCTTCTCAGTTCTTTTAGAACTCCTGCGAACAACTTCTTTTACTCGGTCATGATCGTTGGTAAAATTGGTCTCGTTTTAGTTGATGATTGCCTTAGGCAAAACATTCTTCATGCTCTTTGTTAAATGGTGGAAATATATATATATATATATTAATTACTTTCGGAGAAACTACGGCCCTACTCTCTTTAACGAAATGCGACAGCCTTTTCGAAAGTTGATCTTTGTGTCGAAGTAAAATTTTTGTAGCCAGATTCCGCCTGGTCGGTTGTCCCGGAATAGCTGCACTCTTTTTCCCACTCGGTCATGGTGAGTTTTTACGGTTTCCTTAATGTCATCTGAATCGCACGGATAACCCCAGTCTGCGGCGGTACTCACATGATCCAGATGATATTCTCCTTCAGCTGAGCTGATAAGGCTAGTAGGGCCCCAACCGATTTTGTGTGCAGGCCCTTAACTTTTCGATATAAAGCTATGTAGGGAATCTCGAATTATTCACTCAGATCTTTTAAATTTTCACCCTGCCTATATAATTGTAACGCACGCTGTAATGATTCTTCATTGTATTCTCGATATTTTCGACGTCCTGACTTTCTCTTGTAAAATTGACCCATTTCCAAATAGCCCCTGAAAAGGCAATGAGAAATAAAATGCCACACCATTGGCTAGTAAAACACGATTAATATGTTCTTAGGTTATGGAATGGAAAAACTAATCTCTTTCTAAAAAAAATGTAGCTGTGTATTTTCACTCTTTAGTGTTTTTGTGTAGGAAGTATACTGGTATATGAAAAATACATGAAACTTACTTTTTAACACTACACAATCACTGATAAACAGTATACGAAAAACTTCCGGCGTATCATACAATTATTATAACAGCTGGTGTCGCTTGCCTTACAAACACACTTTATATTTCACACCACCAGCCGGTAGCACGTGACTAAAATAGTGGCGACTCAAATTATTACCTCACAGTTTTCAAGTAGCCGCGTTTCACGGTATTCCTTTTTTGTTGAAAATTTCAGAATCGATATTCCGTGACGATGCATCTGTTCATCGTGTATTCCAATTACATTCTTATAATTCCACTTCGGTGGTACTACTATTCAGTCGAAGATACTAGGGTACGAAATAGTGTTCAAAAAGACTACATCTAGTACCAAAATACGAAAAATGCCAACACATCGAACATGAAACAATGTAATGTGACGTCAGATCTCTGAAGTCCGAACTCTGAAGTCTGAATGGCACGACCGGGCCGGGCCTCCGTAGATACCACACCTCGACTACGACTCAGCCGTCCATAGAAATCCATCGCCACGATATCAGACTTGTAAGCTAGCACGATCAATCTGCAAATGTCCCCACATTTGATTGATGTTTAAATAACTCCGGAATCTTGGTCATTTCCCTGCCAAAAATACTTCATGAAGCCTCATAAAAATATAGATGGAATATGAGTATCAATAAGAATCTATGCGGAAAATAATGTTCAAGGAATAGAAAGTTGCTATTAGACAACACAGATATAATCTCAAACGTATTTAATGAATTTTCGTAAAGAGGGAGAGTGTTCGATAATTGATTACACTCAATGAGGAACTGCTGCCCTGATTCTATCGGTTATATCTAATGAATTTTTATGTGGTTTATATTTTTTTTAGGATTCGAGATTTTCAAAAAGTAATAAAACGTATCTTATAACTTAAGCTGAGGTAAGATGTGTTCCAGAATTCATGAGTGTTGATAAGGATATACCATTATAACTGCATTCGTAGGTTATGATGTTTTATGCATTATCTCTGTGTGAGGATTCAAGAATTTTGATTAGACAAAACATGCCTAATCTGAATGGTACATAATAAGTTTGTATGAGATGTGTGTGTTCTGATGATTTCCTAGGTGTGGGAAGACAATAATGATCTGAAATAGATTCAAGCTGAGGCTAGAAGTGTTTCAGAATTCATGGGTGTTGATGAGGAAACACACCAGTTATGACTTCAATGGTATGTTGAGCGGTTTTATCCGAAATTTCTGTATTGGGATTCACGAGTTCAGATAACATGATACATGTCTAAACTGAAATGTATAAAAGACAATACTGATCTGTAATTCGGAACACTTTTTCATGGTTCAAAAGTATATTTTGTATGATATTATCAATTTATTATCAATAAGACACAAGCCTTAATGTTGAAGAACAAGGACATTTCTTCTCCTATTACGATGATTGCAGTTCACTAGAGCCATACTACCTTTTGATAGTCAGCAGTTTCAGCAGAATGTTGAGTCGAAATAAAGGTAATTTTGCACTTATCATGCGATGGGTTTTTTTCGAAAATTTTTTTTGGTACTTACGTATTTTTGTCTGAAAAACACGAATTTGGTATTGAAAATGTGAACAAACCACTATTTATCGAGATATTTCAAGAAAAAGTTCGAAATTTTGCCTTGTTTTCTCCCTTGTGTTGGATGCATTTACTGGTACTTGCTCTTTTTATTTTGTCATTGGACACTTCATATACTCATGATGAACTTCAATGACACATTTTAAGCTAGAAAATTAACAGGAAATATGATTTTTATGGTGAGTTTTTCCTATTTAGTGAGCAAGCATACCAGATGACCGCCATTTAATCGATGGGTAATCCAAATAGGAGATGTCAAATGTCAATAGATTGCTTTGGAATGACATCACACACGCCATTATTTCAAATGATATTCTTCCTTCTTTTCACTAAACATGGATAAATCACAAGAAAATCATATTTCTAGTTGACTCATATAATAAAAAATATGTGTCCAACATTGTGTGATATATATAGATTGTCCAATGATTGAAAAAGAAGGGCAAATTGTTCTAATTGCTTCCCAAAGACAGGCGGAAAAGAAGGTGAAATTTGTAACTTTATAGTGAAATATCTCAATAAATAATGGTTTGTTCACATTTTCATTATCAAATTCGTGTTTTTCAGACAAAAATACGTAAGTACCAAAAAAAATTTTCGAAAAAAAACCCATCGCATGATAAGTGCAAAATTACCGAAATAAATATTTGAAATTATAAGTATGTCTGATCACAAGTATCTATCATTTTCATTGATTTTTTTTTATTTCGGAATGAATAACCAGCAGATTCAGTGGTGTCAGTTGAATTCGGAATAGACTCTCTGCCAGATCTGTATGTCATTCTGTGACTGTGGAGTCCGTCAAAAGATTAAACGTCAATAACGTCATTACGTCAATTACGTCATCATTCATCAACATCATCAAATTCAAATTCATCAATCACCCGATGTTTGTTGGTTGGATTTTGGGTTAAGGTTTTCATTTTTTCATGATTGTTATGTTATGTTAAAATAAATGATAAAAAATAGTAGTTTGTAGTGAAATAAGAGATTACTGAGTAAAATCTGTTACCGTCACCAATGTCGTATGCCTATTAGGAATAATAATAATAATAATAATACAAATCCAATGTCAGAAGGAGCAAGGAGCAGCTGATGTGGATTGTGGAGTACTGGAGTACATAGTCCTGGAATATTATGATTATGATGCTGTAATGTAATTACACATTTCACTAGCCAATCCATACTCCTTTAATAATTTGCCAAGGTAGTTTACCTTGGTATACCAAAGCCAAATGTATAATCAATCAAAACCAAGAAATCCCTGGAATAAAAATGTACAGCCAAAGAAACATTCCCAGAATAATAAACCATTACCATCTTCAGAAGCCAAATTCAAGGAAGCACACTCAAAATTACAAGAAGCTGTTAGAAAACATGTCAAGGATTATGAGTCATCTTCAGATGAAGAGGAATTGGAATCTGGTTCTTTGATAGGTAAGTAAATATTCTGGTAAATATCCCAAGTAAAATAATATTTATGCCCAGAGAGGAACAGTCTCCTTGACTTCTCCTGTCACCTTGTTTTCCAAAATGAATAATCAATTGTTTTCCACCACTAGCTATAAAACCTACCTCATTCCTTCCTCCAGGCATAAAGTGTGTTTTTACTACCAAGGTAGATTGACTCATTTTACCCCAATGCACTGTTCTCATCCAAGATTCAATAGAATGGCATGTGAATCTAGTAGGTATTTATCAATAATGACTTGTCATCTGCTTTAATGGTCATGGCTACTAGATTTCAATTAGAATTATTGTAAAGAAGTGCTTTCATAGTGGCAATAGGTCCATATTTCAGTTTCATACAACTGAAATGATTGAAATGTATTGCTAGTGGTGAAAAAAATTCAAAATTGACCTTGGTAGTAATAGTTATTTATTATACAAGGGAAAAAAGTATTAGATTTTTAGCTCCAGGTTGTGTTGTCTGCCAACTGAGGGAGACAAAATACTGTGAGCTAAAATCTATTATTTTTTCCCATGTATACTTGGGGGGTCATAAATGAATTGCTAAGGAGAAGAAGGGAATAATTACCATTTTAGGCCAAACTAAACTAGCATAGACATTTCGTTCTTTGGAAATGTCTACATGAATCTAGCATATAGGTATTAATAAACAATACGGATCATAACGGGTGCCAGGATGAAGCCAAAAATATGAAACAAATGAATATCCATAAGGATTTGGTGGCATGATACGCATGCGCCATGCGCTATTATAGTAGTCATCAAAGACATGCGTTTCGGTGGACAATGACGTTTACTAGCCTTTCAATCAAAGCAGTATGTGTCTGATCATTTCAAAACTTTTCCTTATGGATAGTCATTTGTCTTCAAAAATTGGCTTCATGTTTCGCTATGGAAACAGATAGAGATTATCCATATTGTTGATTAATACATATATGGAATCTAGCCAAAGATGGGAACAATCCTGATATTTTTAAATGCACTGCATTGCTAACAAAATATCCAATATAGTGGAAGAAGGAAATTATATTATAATGAAATCTATGTTTGAAATAATTCTCTTTTTCCACTGAATGTCTGGGCATAACATTCCCATGGAAAAAAGTAATTTATGAAAAGTGACATTTTATAACCTGTCAACTCAGATGAAACTTCAAATTTTTCTCCCATCACAGAAAAAGCACTATTTTTTACTATGACAGGGAAAAGGACATATCAATATTAAATTACATTATATCAAAATCAGAAATTTATCAATGTGAAATTTGAAGTTCTGAACAGGTATGACACCTGCATTGCAGCATATTTTTGCAGGCATTTCATCATTCTTTTGAAGTAATCAAATATCTGTCACTCCAATTATGGGATTTCATTTTAGAAAATTGTGAATTTAGTGATTGTTTAGTAATTTACATAACCCCTAAGTCCAATGGAAATATAGCACAACAAAAGCCATCGACAGTTTATATTATACAGGGTGGGTTATAATAATATCAACAAAATTCAAACATAGATTCCTCACCTCATTTTGAGGTGAATAGTTCCTCTCAACATATGTCCTATAATACATCCTCACTGAAATACAGGGTGTAGAAAGTATGAAAAGAGTTGAGATTTCTCTAAATTTTTCCAGAACCCCTGTAGCAAAAAAATTGAAACTTGGTAGACCAATCCAGATTAATCAGAGCAATCACAGGGAGTTTTAATTTAATTTTACATTTTATTAACCAGGGCGTAGTAAGAGTCGTATGTCACCACATTTTTTTCCTTCAAAATTTTACTCAAGACAGATGAATTATCAAATTAGTGAATGACATCAGTTAGGATTATAAATACTCAACCTAAAAGTAATGAAATTCTGCATGTCTAAATGTAGAGGTTCCAGATTCCGGAGATATTTGCAAAAAACTTGACATGTCTAGAAGTAATATTGGTGAACATAATCGCATAATGCTGATATTATAGGAGATAGGGATATTACTTTTCATCCTCCAAAATATTCTTGAATGTTGAAATAGTATATTACACACCCAGGTGGAAAGTGATTCATTCCTGGCGTGAGATTAGCTGACAGGAATGAAACTTACCTTCTGAGGTTTGTTTACTATTTTACTTACAACCATCATATTTCGATCAAAATTAATAAATCCCTGTTTTGTTCTGAACATATCTGGAATATTACATAATTGAGGGCAAGAAGTAGAGAGGACGGGAAGTAGAGAGGACGGGAAGTGAGGGCGGGAAGGTTGTGAATAAAAATTAAAAACATTGTGTGGGTGTCAGAAGTAAATCAACAAACTTAATAGTGGAGCCATCTTAAATTTGTCAGAACCATGAAACTATTAAAACAACAGTTACCAATGAAGGGAAACTATGGCAACGTTTTTAGTATGTCAAACAGTAACAAATTTTAATTATATTAATAGATTATTTGGTGCATAAAATATTTACATAATTGACATCTTCTGATCATGGACTGTCACACATTCTGGAAGATGCCTTGTGTATTCTGGATTACCATGCCTGCTGCTAAAATTCTAGCAGTTGAATCTTCTACAGATTCTACAGGTGTAGAATAGAATATGGATTTGAGGTACCCCCACAAGAAAAAATCTAGTGGAGTGAATGGAACCATATCTACCTATCCAATGAACAGGGGAATTCTGGTCAAGAAGCTGACTAACTGTATGCTGGGAATGGCCGATGCTCCGTTGTGCTGATACCACATTCTTTGACGGACTAAGATAGGTATTTCTTCAAGTAAACCAGGAGAACTTCATCTAGAAATATTCTGTAGGATCTGCTATATCTACGACCAGGGTGCAGAAGATAAAGGAAAGACTACCAACACTGTCTGAAAAATGTGCCTCCAAACCCGAGAACATGAATCTGATGACTCCACTGATAATGGAAAGGACCAATGTTAGACCAAGAAACAAATTTCCAGGAAAGTCTCTGATGACGATACTCCATGATCTAACTGAAATCCCATAGATTTAATCACTTACCTGAAATCATTTTTTTCAACAACAACTGTTTTCACTTTTCAATACACTCAAAGGAGATAACATTTCAAAAAGAGATAAGACCATATTGGCTGAAGGACTCAGGTCGATGGCCACTTGATCGTATATGTGGCCATATAGCCCATATACGACCCTAACTACGCCACTGGTTGACAAAATTAAGAAATGAAAACTCTATCTCTGATCAACCTGGATCGCTATACCGAGTTTCATATTTTTGCAACAGGGGTTCTGGAGAAATTTTGAGAAATCTTAACTTCTTTGTACTTTCGACACCCTGTATCTCAGTGAGGATGCCTTTTAGGACATACCTTTATAGGAACTTTTCACCTCGAAATATACCGAGTTTCATATTTTCGCAACAGTGGTTCTGGAGAAATTTTGAGAAATCTTAACTTCTTTGTACTTTCGACACCCTGTATCTCAGTGAGGATGCCTTTTAGGACATACCTTTATAGGAACTTTTTACCTCGAAATGAGGTGAGGAATCCGTGTACGAAGTTTGTAGGTCTCATTCTGACTAACCCTTTATATGTGATATACAGTGTGTCCCACTTTTCATGAATACACCCTGCTATCTCACTTATTAATGATGATATTCTCTTGAAATTTTAGTGGTGATTGTATGTTAGAACAATGCATTCACCATTGGCGTGCAATGTCGAGGGGTACAAAAAAGGCCATTATTCGGAAAAAGGATATTAGGGCTTATTTCAAATAACTGTTTTATCAGATTCAGAATCAGCATCCCCAAAAACCCCTCAATTCATATTTTCAAAATCTTAAGAAAAATTCAAAATTCCTCTTTTCTTGACTACGCCCCAAAATCTCAGTTATTAATGATGTGATTTTCTCGAAACTGTGATGATGAGTGTATGTTATTTTTTCGACATAAAATCACCATCAAAATTTGAAGAAAATCGCATCGTTGATAACTGAGATGTAAGGGTGAAAAGCGGGATTTTGAAATATTTTATTTTAGCTCTTGGAATCTTGAAAATACGAATTGAGGGGTTTTGAGGATGCTGATTATGAATCTGATAAAAAAGTTATTTAAAATGAGTCCTAATATCCTTTTCCCAAATAAAGGCCTTCTTTGTACCCCTAAACATCGCACCCCAATGGTGAATGAAACTGTTTATTCTGCTAAATACTTCCTTATTCTAACATACAATCACTACAAAAATTTCGAGAGAATCGAACCATTAATAACTGAGATAACAGGGTGCATTCATGAAAAGCGGGACACACTGTATATCTAGAAAAAATGCTCATTTTTTGTAATTTATGAAAAGTGACATTTTATAACCTGTCAACGGAGATGAACTTTCGAACTTGAATTTTTCAATTTTCTGATATTTTTTCATTGTGTTACCCGAGGTGTTACCTATTTCACATTTTCAATTAATTTTTTTTTCTCATGCATCCCTCGAGAGGGAAAAATTTCTGAAGTCAAGTTATTATTTTCATGCAACAATATTTCAAAGCTACTGAAAATTGATTTATAGCTTGGATGTTGAGAGAATATTTTTTTAAATCACTAGAAACATGGCCGCCACAGATATCGAATTTTTCTCTCCTTGTATCTTGCCTCTTGTAGGTCATATCATACAATACACTATCAGAGCTCAAAATATCAACAATGAAAAAAAAAAGAAATTCTCTCTAACATTAGTTGCTACACAAGCATTCAAGGTCAAAGTTGAAAAGAATAATTCAAATTTTGAGTATTTTTCTTTTTCGTCGACCTGGACAAAAAATTACATTTTACGTTCGACTTTTCAAATCAAAAACCGACTATTTCCGAAGGCAAACACTACTGATCTACTGAAACATTTCATGATCTTCTAAAAAATATTTTGACACTTAGTTATTATTATAACTACCTCGACAATCGAATATATTATTATTAATCTTCAGTTGATCACATACACTTATAAATTACTTGATATTTCGGCTCGCTCTGTTTAAATTAATATTAAAAAATAAGTTAGACATTCACATATAGGTACTAATGATATGTATTAACCAAAAATAGGATAATACCGAGGATAATACTTCATCTGATTCAGATCAAATTCAATTTTTTATATACCTCTGTTATAACAGTTTGTTTCCTACGTTTAATTTTTCGATTTGTTGTGTATTTTTGTTGTTCATTTTTACTATTCGTTCCTTTTTCAATATACTCAAATCTTATTAGTTACTATATAACTTTAATTTGTGATATTTGTGAGTGTTTTTGAATTGAGAATTTGGAATATGATTATTTTTGTATGAGAATATTTGTTTTGCTTTTTTCTATTTTATTGAAAAGGACTTTTCTGTTTACTAAAAGTACATAATGTTTTGACGTCAAAGGTTTATTTTATTATCCTTTCTTGGAATTCGTATAGCATGAAATAGATCTTAAATTGATCTATTCAAATCTACTGAATTTTTGATACGGTATTTACTGATGGAATAAAAATCGAACTGGCAGTCCTGGTCCGCGCGGGGAGTGAGTTGACAACAACTGTCATTTGCTATTGTCAATTTAATTATTCGCGAAATCCGATAGATTTCACGTGTGAATTGGACCGTGAGGTGAATATAAGTGTTTGAAGTCGACGAAAAAATGTAACATGCACCTCGGCGAAAAATTGTCTATTGTCTCCCGGATTGCTAGCCTCGGCTATCAATGTGCAGACTCGACGATAATAGACAGTGTTTCGTCGTTGGTACAAAAATAACTATTTCATTAATTATTAGGCCAGCTTTGAGACTTTAAACTTACTCCAACTTACTGCAAATCATCGCCCAGCTAATTCAGTGAGATATGACATTTCAGAACCTAGTATTTAATAAAATTGATATTGAAATTTGTATATCTAATATAAATAACACAACTCAACTAGTAACCCTTCAACAGTCAAATAGCATAAAATTTTGTTCGATTTTGCAGATTCTCTAAATGATGATAGATACATTAGGGAGTGGGTGTTCAGCTGGTTCAACCATGCGATTTAGAAGCAAGAAATGCCTATTGTCTGAACCACTGACTGATTTGAATAACGTTACTAGGTTTGATAACACTACAAGTTCAATTCATTCCCCAATTCGGAGGCCGAAACTTGATTATGAACTGTTATGAATATTGAAACTAACAAAATTGACTTTTTGATACAAGGCACCTGAAAATAAAAAAAAATAATATACAAGGAGAATTTGATGTACGTTCAAATAATGAAAATTGCATCATAACAAATGATCAATTCCTACTGAATTGGAATTGAAACAGGAGGACCCTCGAGAGCATCTATATGGAGTATTATATTGAATTGTCTTCCATCATCTTGAAGGGAGTTTTGAACTGAATGCAAAATTTGTTTGACAAGAATACTCACATGTGAAAAATCTTTACTAATCTAGCGCCTCCACTAAAATTCCGAATCTGGAAAATCATTTGAAATGTTTATTTATTGACAGGTACTTGAATATTTTGAATACATATTTGTTGAGCAGTTTGCTAGTAATTAAAATGAAAGTGATTTTCATCGATTCGGTAATCGTGAGTATCCGGACGTAAGTTATCGAACCATTCATCCTCATTTCATAAGATGAATCTCTCATAACAGTTTATTGTTTAAACTCTGAATCACCCAGTATGCCAACGTATATTTTCTCTGCTAATTTCTTATGTAATGTTTGATGCACCCTCAATGGGAATTTGATTTTATGGTAAATTTGTTTTTGATACTATGATTGTTATGTTTAGAAATGTCTACTACATTGTACTTTTACTATTACAGATGCAATTCTGAAGAACTATAAACATACAGGTGGGGAAAATGAACAGCTTGGTAAAACAAAATTGTTTTTGGAGGAAACCTTTTTGTCTGGTGCTTCTACATGCCTTATTTGTATATCTAGAGTTAAAAGAGATGATGAGGTTTGTATTGACCCTTATTACACTAATGATCATTCGGAGTTTCAAATTATCATAACTATTTGGGCGTTTTAAAACATTTCTAACTAACAATATCAACAAATAAAAACATTAATTCAATTGTCCTGTATATTTTTTCTTAGTTTTTTCTATTTGTAAGAAAATAACCAATACAATAAATTGAACAAGTACAAACATTTTCAGATATGGAATTGTTCAAGCTGTTTTGGATTTTTTCACTTGATGTGCATCCAAAGATGGTCGAAAGATACTCTGACTCAACAGAAACAAGCTCTAGAAGGTCAGATACTTGTTCAGAAAGCAAAACTATGTTGGTGTTGCCCAAAATGCCGCTTTGAATATTTCACTGAAGATGTTCCTACAAAATATTTATGTTTTTGCAAAAAAACTGAGAAGCCAAAGTTTCATCCTTTCTTGGTACCCCATTCATGTGGTGACATTTGTAGAAAGAACCTCATCCCCAATTGTGGACACAGCTGTTTACTCCTTTGTCATCCAGGTTAGTAAAATAATGACTATTTTCATAAATACATTCTTTAAATAATCTTGATTTAGAGCCTCTTTGCACAGTTCACTGCACGAGAGATCTGTTGATGTGAATTATTTCTTAAATATAGAGTGATTTTATATAAAAATACAAATAATTAGTCAATGGTTGTCTCCACCAAACGGAGTTCAAATGATTTTGAGTTGAAGTGAAATTCGAAAAAATCAAGAATAAGAAAACCTTCCACTTTAGCAATCTGACCATTTGAAGATGGAAATATACATTTCTGAAAGCTCGGGCAAACTGTAATGAGTTCACCTTGGACTTGAACATTTCAAGTCGATTATTTGATAATATATACAAGTTGAAGTTATCCCATTATTTTGCATTTTTCACAAGAACGGTTAGGAAATGACTTTGAAGGTTAAGTAAGTAGTTTTCGTTTTTTTGTAGGTGGCGCCACCTACACGATAACTTTTTACTTATTCAAAGACTTAATTACGTTGGGTACGTCCATGTATGACAACCTTAAGCGAAATAGTTTTTTGTGTATCAAGGGTGCAAAATCAGTATTTGTTTCAATAAAACTTACAAGAAATATCAACAGCATATCAACAAATGAACTGTTGGCTCCGAAACGCATCTCAATAGCATAATATTAGTTTTATAATTTTCTACAATATGAGTAGAAAGCATGCGCACTCAGTTACATTTTTCGGCTACGTCGCGCGCAGCTGTAGTACTGCATCCTCCTCTATCGCATCAAATAGTACGCGCAATGTTTCTCTGTCATGCATGCTTGCTTGCCCAGATTTTTCAATTTGAAAGCCTGGCAACTGTTATTCATGAACGGATTTTGCAATGCAATATATTTTTCAAGTGGTAAGCATATGGTGCAAATACTGATATCAACTTACTTGATGTTTGTACATGGCAACCAGGTAATAGGGATCAGAAAAAGGTAGGCAACCTATAGCTGTTCCATATTTTGTATGTTGTATGCTTTCCATTGGAATTTCATTCATTTGGCAAGCAAATCAGTAATATTTTAAGAATAAATTATATTTCATAAGTTTTATAAATTATAGTCATGACCATATTTGTATGGCGACCCTATTGGTATATGTTCAGAAATATATTTTATTTGATCAAATATAATTTTCATCTGATAAGCAGATGACTAAAGGTAGACAGCCTCACTTGGGATCTTTGACTATTGACACACAATGAAATTATTTACAAATAAACTGTTTTTCTATGTGAATTTGTGTTCCTATCAGGAGTGCAACTCACAATCACAGAAAATCAGAAAGGGAAACGATTTAATTGCTTTGTGCATTATTCTATTGTTTTCTTACATTGTGCCAACAAGGTGCTATATTATTGATAACCTTAGTTGAATCATCTAATTTTTCTAGTGTAGGGTTATAGGTCCAAGCAATCTATTTTATGGAACCACATTCATCATGAAAAAAATCAATATGACCATCGTCTTCAACCTTAAATTCAAATTATGAAAAAATACGAATTTTCACAATAGAATATGGATTTGTTTTATATCAGTACATTGAAAAAAAAAACGAACGGAAATGTATTTATGATTGACGTTGGTCACCGACAATAATATCCTGGGAACAACTTGTCCTATGATTTTAAGACCAATTTTTTTCCTGGCATGTTGATGTTGATCATATTGTATATGGAAAATATCCAATGATGATTTTTCGGACACTTTTTCACTGTAGGACCATGCCCACCCTGTCCTGTCACCGTAAGTGTTTCATGCTACTGTGGTGCCCAGGCGCCAAGAACTCAACGGTGCAGCAACAAAGAATGGTCTTGCAATGGCATTTGTGGAAAGGTTTTGGAATGTCAAAAACATACTTGTCCCAATCCGTGTCACCGTGGGGAATGTAAACCATGTCCCAAGAAGAGTATACACAAGTGTGTATGTAAATCACAACAGAAATTGCGGGACTGTGCTAGTCCTGTATGGCACTGTGATAAGGTGAGATTTTTTTTCATTAAGTAACTATCATCCCAGCAGACACAAATACATATCTGATACATAACAACCACATATTTCTGTTTTCATCCGATGTTGCAGATATACTATTTGTACAATGTACAGTTAATGTATCTTGCATGTAACGTCAAATTTTCGCCTCCCTGATTATGTCCTTTATATATCTGACATATGTAGAGCGTTTTTGAGGTAACATTGCATACATGTATCAGATACATTATAAGTAACCAGTTTGTTCTTATAATGATACAAAAATGAATGTTAACGAGTAATATATAACTATAATTAATTTGGAATCATTTGAAATTCAATTGTCAATGCATCACTGAGAACACATCATATGAATATGTTAATATAATGTTTATGATGAAAATTGTATTATCAAAATGGAAGAATAGGTACTTCAGTGGTAATGATAGGTGAATTGAGTGGTAAATCAATCAATCAATCATATGCTTTATATCTGATTCTACCAGGTATATATCCTGGAATATATTCTCTTTTGGGGAAATCACTGTACATACTATATTATCTCCTCATAGCACTTTTGACACACCAAAGAAGGTTTATGATGTCTAGGTGGAACTTCGACCACAATATCGATAGGTATTCCTTCATGTTTCCAGTTATTGGTTCTAGAGTTTTACCTTAGAGGTTAAAACCGACTTTTGATAATGCACTTGAAAGTATAGTGGAATGAAATTGTTGACCCAAAAGTCTTCTGTCAAGGAATTTTCCCTCTTTTCATACTTTTGGATTTTCTAACCCTTCCAAATTGTTCCAAAAAGTCACAAATATTAACACCATCACTTTCAACATCCATTTGAGCATATTCTACAGATTTAGCTGCTTTGGAGCGGCTGGTGGTACTAACATAGATGAATGCACATTAGCAGCGTGGTCATGTAGAGATAGATCATAGGGACATGAGAGCCGTTTTGATCAATAATGAATTGTTTCGACACAAAAAAATCTTGAAGTTGAAAAATCTCGATTTTGAACACCCTATATCCCCAAGTGTGATATACTGATTAAATGAGCTCTCCTGGGAGAATCTAAAAATGCTATTGAATACAGGGTATTCTATTTGAAATAACAAATTTGTTGCTACTTTTAGATTGAACGATTTCCCCCTCGAAAATGTGGTTGGCGTGTTTCAACGTTTTTTATGACCCGATTCTAGCGATCTACAGAGCCTCTGTTTCGTCTTCAATGGACCACTCTGTACAATTAGGTTGAATAATTTTCATTTGTGATATTTCAACCTCGGCAATTCCACTCTTCTACTCAACTGTTTAACATATTTTTGAGATATTTTTATATCACTATAAACCATCCACAATGAAAACATACACTATTTTAATTTTGAATCTGAAAAACATGTAAGGCATACCAACATTCATAGAAAACTAACCTGAAGTAGTCTTCTAACCTCAAAATATAATCTTTAATAATCTTGTGTTACATAGTGATCAACTATCAAATACCAACTCACATATAACAGAACGTTGCACTGTTATAACGGTTTTGGTGAATTGGAAATAATTCTGAATAGTTTTGAGACATAAGTAAAACATATGATTTTGTTTCATTCACCATACATGCATAATTCAACTGAACAGTATTGTTTCATGGCATTTGAAGCAACATATATGTACACTTCTCCAAGAAATTAACGCACCACCAAAAAGTAGCCAACAGTTTAGGAAACCTTTTCGTCCAATCTACTTGTCCGATTTGGACGTTTTTTGTTTCCATGACAGGTTATTTCTTTCTGAGCATTGATGTGCAAACTGTATTCGCATAAAAACCTCTTTTTTATACATGCCGGGTATAGCAATTACAGCGTGTTTCATTCATGAAATTTGTAATACCCTGTAGTGTTATAGTTATACCATCGAGTTAGAATTGAATTGACACCTTAGCCTTATCTTTTTCCAACATTTATTTTTTTGGATTCACTCCATTATCTTTCCTATTAGTGAAATTCTATTTCATAGCGTTACCTGATTTTATGGAAAATTGATGTCCATTTTAAATTGGTAACGAAAAAGAGAAACAGAATGCGAAGTCACAAGTTTAACGGAAGGGTCAGTAGCAAGTATTTCCGCCACGGGCACGAAATAAATAAAAGACCTAATGTCATGTTGGTCCAGGTCTTCCCAAATTTGAATCGTCAGTCTCTGCCGTGCGTTTTCCAAAGTATTCAAGCTACGTTCCTCTTGTTATCTTGTCCCAAGAATGTCCCAGAGATTCTCAATTGGATTTAAATCCGGGCTCCGAGCTGGCCATGTCATGGTAGCGATACAGACTTCCTGTAGATAATTTCTCACGACTCTGGCGACGTGAGGCCTGGCATTATCTTGCATCAACAAAAATTCTTACACTATATGTGGTTCTAAAATCACCAATATGTACCTTTCAGCTGTAAGTCTTGCATTTATGATCACAAGTTCCATGCGACCAGTCAAATAAATGCCTTCCCAGATTACAGCTTCTACTATCATGCTTATAATGCCAATTCAATTCAGTGAAATCATGTGATGCTATAAAATTGTGTTTCTGGAGAAATAGGAAAGATAATGGAGCAAATCCAAATAAGGAATCATAAACAAGACACACAAAGTCATCTCCACAAATTTATTGACTGAGTAATCAGTACCTGTACATGTTTCGGACTATCAATAGTCCATCATCAGCAGCATATTTTAATTGACAATTCTCTACAAAGAAAGGTTTTTTATATAGTTACGAATGTTATGTTTAGGTTATGTATACTCACGTGGAAATGAAAAAAGGAGAAGTTAATAAAATTATTGCATGATACAATTTTTAAATTGAGTAATAATAAAAATGAAGGGCAAAAGGCCCAAGGCCCAAAGGGGCTTTATGGGGGATCCCAACACTTGTTCATCAAAGTGATAACCGATGAAATGGGGCCCATCATGAGAATAATGGTTACCGTGACGTGGTATGGCGGTGAAGGGGGGGGGGGGTTGGGTTAGGTTGACACTTGACATAGGAAACTTGAAGTGTGTATCCAATGACAAGTGACACAAAACTGTCCTGTGGCATAAACAAAGAATGTAAGAGGCAAGATGCGAGAAGAAGCAGGGCCGTAATGAGTCACATGTCAATGAATAACAAGATTTCGTACAAAATTGTTTCAGAAACAAGACTGAGAAGGAATCAAGGTGAGGCAAAGTACTAACCTAGTAGACGTCATCGTTAGAATTTGAGAGCGTTGAAGAATTTTTGGCAATCAAAATTTGTTTGTTCATTCAAGGAAATAATGTTGTCATCTTTGATTGATTCATTAATTTCAAAAATCTCTAATAAATTTAGAAGGGTGCCCTTATGGCAAATATGTAAAACTTCAAGGTCATTTTCTATATCAAAGTGATGATTACAATTAAGGATATGATTAGCAAATGAACTTTTCGTATTGTATAAATCTCTGGGAGAATTTTTGTAGCTGTCAATCAGTTTAACATGTTCATTAACACGAGTTTGAATTCTCCTTCCACTCTGACCAATGTATTGTGCTAGACAATTAGGGTGTGAACAAGAGATTTTATAGACACCGGATCTATGTAACGGGGGAATATTGTCTTCGGTATTGACTAACAAACGGGAAATTGTATCTGTGGTGTAAAATGAAACGTTGATATTTCCGTTGGAACGTTGTAAAATGTTTTTTAGGTCATAAGAGACTTTACCTAGGAAAGGGATGGAGCAAAACAAATTTCTATTATTATTGAGTGGAATGAGACCTTGATTAATTATTTTAGTAGAAAATTTGTTGAAAATTTTGTTAATGAGGTGCAGAGGGTACCCATTGTTAACAGCTATCTGCTTGATAATATTCCATTCAGTATCGAAGTTGGAGGTAGTTAATGGTATATTAAATAATCTGTGAATTAGAGAATTGAAGGCTGCTAGTTTATGAGAAATAGGATGGCAAGAGTTGAAAGGAATTACGTTGTCTGTATGAGTGGGTTTGCGGTAAATGGAGAATTCAAACCTGTCATTTACAATGTTAACTGACAAGTCCAAGAATGGGAGAGAGTTATTGATAGCTAATTCCATTGTGAAGTTGATGGCAGGATGAAGTGAGTTTAAAAATTCCAGGAGCAAGTTTACCTCTTGTACTGTACCATCAAAAAGAACTAGACAATCATCTACATATCTGTACCAAAAGTTTATTTTATGAAACAGGGGAAAGTGTTGAAGATTGCTTTCTAAATCATGTAGAAAAATTTCAGATAAGAGTGGAGAGAGATTGCTGCCCATGGCTAAACCTGTGGTTTGTGAATAATGAGTATTGTCAAACTGAAAAAAGTTTTGTTTAAGAACTGTGTCTAAGAGTTGACAAACGTTGAGAACATGGAAAGTTGGGATATTAGAATCAAAAAGGAGATTACGAACCAACCTAATGCAATCATCAGGCGGAACACTAGGGAAAAGGTTCACAACATCAAAAGAAACTAAGACTGCATTAGGAGGAACAATCACATTTTTTATTCTATTGGTGAGATCAAATGAGTTTTTTAAAGAAAGAGGATTATGAAAGTCAGTAAGATCTTTTATTAAGCCGTTAAGCCATGATGCTAGTTTAGAGGCAGGAGAATTGCAATAGGATACAACTGGTCTTATGGGTATGTTATTTTTATGAATTTCAGGTAAACCATATAGAAGAGGGGTGGAAGGATTCATAGGAGTCAACTTGAGTTTTGATGAGTGGTAAAAATTGATAGTATCAATACAGGTGTTGAATATTGATTTCATGTTATTGAAGAATTTTGAGGTAGGATCAGTTTTTAATTTTGAAAAATTATCTGAGTCCAAGAACTGAGTAACTTTGTAACAGTAATCTAACCTATCAAGAATGACAATGCAGTTACCCTTGTCAGCCTTAGTTACCACCAAATTATTGTCTTTGATAATCCTTGTAATATTTTTTGAGATTCTGATATCCAGAT